TAAAACATTTATTTTAAAACTTAAGTTTATATTTTTATTAATATTATGTTTTATAATTTTTTATTTTTCTTTGAATTATTTTGCTTTTTCTTTTGATTTTTTTTATTTTTTTGCTTTTTCTTAAATTGTGTGCCTTGCCTCAAAAAGGCATGCGCCTTGCACCTTGCGCCTCAAGCGCAAAACAGCCCTTGCACCTTTCGCTTTTAAAACACTAACCCAAGCCCAACCTTGAAAATTGAGCCTAAAGCCCAAGTCCAGTCCGCACTAAAATTTGATGCACTTAGGTTGGGCTCGGGTTGGTCATTAGCCCACACAAAAATTTTATATATATATATATATATGCATATATGTATAGTTTATTAAAAAAACATGCATATATGCATATATGCATGTATGCATGCAGAAGTGCATCTACATATGTATAGGTATCAATGGACCAGGCTTGGGTTAGAATTAATCTAAATTAAAACAAATTTGAACAGATTGAACGGTCCAGAGATTGAATTGGACCAATCCAAAATGTTCTAAAATATTCATTGGATTGGGATTGGACCTGATCCGTTTGTAATGGACTCACAATTGAGTGGATTGAATCATATTGGACCAAATCCAGTCCAATTGACACCCCTATACATATGCACAAATACGTGTATCTAATTGGGCCAGGCCAGGCTCAAGCTTCCTAAGGGCTAGGTTCGAGCCCAGCCCAGAAATTTTAAAAACCCAAACTTTTGGGCCTAGGCCCAGCCCGAGGACCGAAAATTTAAGCCCATCCCGTGTAAAATTGCAGGTTGGACCGTTCGGGCTGAAGTTGGGCCTGCCAAGTTGCACCCCTAATAAGAACAGTTTCACTCTCACAATTGTCACATGACAGATACGAGTTGGGTCGAAAAATAAGAAAATGTAGAAAATTTGCTGAAATTACAGAAATTTTAAAACAAAATGCAGAAATTTGCAGAAAATGAAGAAAATGCAGAAAGTGTAGAAATTTTACAAAAAAAATACAGAAGATGAAGAAAAATGCAGAAAATTTGCAGATAATGAAGAAAATGTAGAAATTGTAAATAATTTTGTAGAAACTGCAGAATATTGCAGAAAATGACGAAAATATACAAAAAATATGCAGATAATGGAAGAAATGCAGAAATTTTGTGGAAATGAAGAAAAATGCTAAAATTGCAGAAATTTTGCAGGAAAATTCAAATTGCAGAAAATAACAAAAAATGCATAAATGTTTAAAAATTGCAGAAAATGAATAAAATGAAGAGAAATGCAGAAAAAATTCTGAAATTACACGAGTTGCAGAAATTTTGCTGAAGTTGCAAAAAATAGCAGAAAATATGCAAAAAATGACAAATGCAGAAAATTGCTGAAATTGCACAAGTTGAACAAATTTTACAGAAAAAGAAAATGGCAGAAAAGTTGCAGAAATTGAATAAAATTGTTAAAAAAATGCAGAAAATGCAGAAATATTTTTAAAAATTTAGAAATTTGCAAAAACCTCCCATACTTCTGAAAAGACTCTTTTCCTACTAGTTGAACTAGACTGTGAAACCTCCCATATATATATATATATATTCATAAATACATACATACATTATATATATATAGGAGTCAGCTGACAAATGAACAATAATAAACTTCAAAAGCACAACATTGGACTCTCTTCTACCCACTTCCAAGTTCCAACCTCTCCCAAAAATATTAAAAATAAACTAAAGTCTTCCAATAGCAGCAAGTGCAAGAGGAGTTTCATCTATAGTACAAATAAAATTCTTCTTATCCCCTTCTTCAAACAAACTCTGGGGTATATCTTAAACCTATTTTGCTTAACAACTCTGATCCAATAGAAATAGATTTAGGAACTGGGGAATACCTGTGACCCCAGGACAAAGAGTAAGTAGCGAATTATTTGGCCAATTGGTTTCTTTCACAACTCTAGAGATGATAAATTGGTTTAAATTTACCCAGATCTACCTGCAGTTAACGGCCTGTTTTCATGGATGAAACCATGCTTTAAACCAAAAAGGGCATTTCCAGCTTAGACAGACATTTACACAAGGTGGAAAAAGTTCTGAGTATTTTTTCTTTATTTGTTGTCTTGACCGTGGAGTTGAAGTACAGGCACAAGGATTAACGTTATTAATCATATATTCAATGGTATTATATTCCAATAAGAAAAACATAATCTATATAGCTAGTGAAATAAATTAGTTGAAACAATGATGATAAATTATTCTTTTTGAGTAATGAGTGCCATTATCTAGTGAAATAAACAAGAAGAAAAACTTCATATATGCATAGTGATTTGGACTGGTTGGGGAATTTTGTCAAACATATGCCTCTCAGTAAACACCAAAAGTCCAAAACTCGATCCCCAACCCAATCTGATCAAGAGTCTCTTTTACACAACCAAACTGTAATTTTAAAACCTGCGACCTTTTCAAAAAACATAGTCCATAAAATGAATTAATCTATATGCGTGGCATGAAACAGATTTTATAGGTGGAGTGTTTTAAAAACTAAAAAGAAATTGTGCCTCTGGGAGATTTTATACAACGTGAAACAGAATATATATGATACAGATTTTATAAGAAAAAAACTTTAGGGAGACTGATCATTTCATAAAAATAGCAGAGATAATATGAGGGAAGAGAAACAGCGACTGGTGGAACAGAGAAACGATGACTGAGGATGAAAATAAAAACGGTGAAAGAGTCTGAGATTCAATGGCGGAACAGAGAAACTTACTTAATCAAGCAATTAAATTAGCAATGGCGAAAAACGGCGGCATTCAATCCTGCTACAATGGTGGAACAGAGAAAAATAGCTAACCCTAACAACTTCAATGGCGACTGGTCAGTCAGAGAACTTACGAAACCTGTTTGAGAGAAAAAAAACTTCGACCTCCACTCGACCCATCTCACCCTGACCCTTTACGATCCAATGGGGCAATGGGTATCCTCCACCCAACCCACCCCATCCCATCCTAATGCGTCATTCGACCCACTATGGAATGGGTGGGTTTGAATGAGTTTTAAGGATGGGTTGGGTGATCAAATGGGTCAGGGTTAAAATGATTGGCTTTAATTATAGTTATTTCTTATAAAATAGAAAGCATGTTTGATTAAGGTGTGTCTTTTCACGTAAAGATGAATTAAAACAAAAAACGCAAAAATTCTATTTGGAGTTTCTCTAAAATTGCTTTGTTTTGGGTTTCTTGCATCTCTTTGATGTATCGATTTTTGGTAGCTAGATTTATCATAAACCAAACGGAAAAAGACCGAATTGTGATCTGTCAAACTTATAAATAACCAACAGACCGTGCAGAAAAACACACCAAATAAGGCCAGAGTAAAACGACTTAAACCTCCCTTTAAATTTATGCCAAATACTAAGACTTCCCTTTTATTTTCAAAATGGACTAACACCTCCCTTTCAATAATTTGTTAAGAATTGGTTGCATGTGAGTTTGCGTCGTTAAGCTTTTTTATTTTTATTTTGAAACCCAACACTATCTCTCTATAATGGACTGATGGTTTGGATTTGTAAATTGTAATGATAGCATCTTGGTTTAATCATGGGAGAAAGAATAGTGAAGAAGAAAAAAATAATGGAGAGGAAAGAAATGAATAGATATATAGAAAGAGACGTGATGGGATCGGTGTGGTTTAATTAGGAGGTTGAAGTAGATGAACAATTTATATTTTGGTAATAACAGCTGTTGTTGGTCAAAACTACAAATATATTTTTATAGTTGTTTCTCTTGCCATTATTGTTTTAGCCCAAGTAGCCTAGGTTCAATCTTTTACATAGTTTTATAGGGAAAATCTAAAAATTTAATTTTATAAAAAACTCCCCTCTATCGAAAGTTGTGATTTCCCAGTTTAAGTAGCATAGCCAATTTCACACCAAATTACCCCAAAATGTTAATGATATGATCATTCTTTTTTTCGAAATGATAAAGGTGATGGTACTCATTGAAAATTTGAACGATAATAAATGATAAAAAATGTTGTTTTTATCAATCTTGTCAAATATAACGGTCAAGGTTCAAAATATCGATACTGGCCAATACGTTGGTAGGGTGCATTGGCCAGTATTGGCTCTTTTTTTTTTTACTTCCACTAATTTTTTTTCCGATTTTAGTTCAGATGAGCCGATTTAAGTTCCAACTGTCCTTTGAACCAGGCCCTAACCCAATACAACCCCTGTAAGAACATATCAAAAGGGCCCAATACGATACATATCAGCCAATACAAGCTAATACGTAATGATTTTTTTAACTTTGATAACGGCATCTCATTCAGATATAGGAGAGCTTTTAAGTCCTATTAGAAACAGATGGGGAGGTGTATATATTTTATGACAAACCTTAAGCATTGAGAACAGGAGGAAGAAGATGGATGTTGGGAGTGAGAGGAAGAAGACGGCATTGTGAATAATTGGAATGCCCTTTCTTCCACGTGTTGTTTTCTCGCACGTATTTGTTATTCAATGACCACCATAGTGAGAATTTCCATTAAAAAATGATTGATCTTGAGAATTTAACAAACCCAAACGGGATTCTACTATGAAGAATAGCGAGAACCATCGTAAGCAATTTTATAAGGAAATACCAAACAAGGCCTTATTCCCAAATAAAAGTGTACAATGTTTGATAGGTGTGAGCAAAAAAAAAAACGAATTGATCAAAAAACCGATCGAAACCAAACCGAAATCAGTTAACTGAACTAGTGGGTACCAAAAGTTTTAGTTTGGTTTCGATTAACCATTTAAAAAAACCAGTGGTTAACCGAACCGACTGATATATATTTTTATATAATATTATATTTTATTTTTTAAAAAACCAAATAAAAACGTTCGACAGTTTAAGAGTGTTCAAACTGTCGAATTGAGAGCTGAGACAAGTTCATCAATCTAGCACCTGTTGGCTGCCAATCTGAGTCGTCTAACAGGTTGACACCCGTTGGCCACTGTGCATGCCTTCTTTTTCTTTCTCTCTCTCTCTCTCTGACTCTCACTCTCTCATACTCCCTCTCTCTCTCTCTCTCTAAACTCTATCTCTCTCGCCTCTCAGTCTCTATAAATTCTCTCTCTCTCTCACTTCTCAGTCTCTCTATGAACTCTCACTCTCGCCTCTCAATCTCTCTGAACTTTCTATCTCTTTGAACTCTCTCTCTCTATCTCTCTCTCTCTCTCGTCTCTCATATTCTCTCTCTGGTTTTGGCCTTTGGCACTTCACCCTGCGGGTTAGAGGCTAATGCATATCGGTGACAATGGCAATCCCAATTACTGTGATTTTCCCTTTTTTTTTTATTTTAAGGGCATAAAAAAATGAAAAATTGAATCGCGGTTAACTGGTGGACTGGTTAACCGGTTGTATTGGTTCGGTTTAATATAAAAATTGAACCTCTCGGTTCGGTCCATATTTTTTCTTAGAGCATCAAAAACCGAACTGCGGACCGCTTGTATCGGTTTGGTTTTCAATTAAGTTGAATGTAAAAACCAAACCTATTAGTTCGACCAAGAGAATTACCCCACACCCCTAAATTGTTTGATTTTATCTAGAAAAGGTGATAATATTTAACGGACAATATTGCCTCATCATGCATTAATGATTTTTTGCATGTATGAAAAAGACTTACTTTCCGCTGCTCGATGGACAAATTTGCACGGATTAATGTATATTTATTTCTTTTTTCATGGATCCTACTAGGCTACTAACCTATCTACCCCCACTTATAGAAACATAACCATGCCTACATAAAAAATGTTTATGGCATGAGTTAATTATTTCCGAGGCATCCTAATATCGGTATTTTTTAACATAGAACAAAAGCAGCCGAACATTTTGCTAGGAAGTAGGAACATAAATGATATATCCATTTTTTCTGTTTTTTTTTTTGTTAAAATTGTCCAATTAGATAACAAGGTCAAAACCATCATTTTATATTCATCTACAAGGTTGATTAAGTAAATCATTTAAAAAAAGGGGGTAAATCAGTTAAATTATAGGTCCATAAATTATAGTTTAGGCCTTAGGTGGCGTTTGATAGCACTTTTTACACGTTTGAAGTTTGAAATATTTGCTTTCCAGATGTAATGCTTATTCGGTGTTGCATATGAAATATGATTTGAAAAGTTTTTTCAGATCTTAAATTTAAGACTCTGGCTCGTCACTTAACACGCTCAAATGCATTTCAACGTTTCCTAAAGTAAAAAATACCCCTACTCCATTATATATATATATCTCCCCCCTTTATAGGGGTGAGCAGGAAAAAAAAAAAAAAACCCAAACCGACCAAGAAAACCGATCAAAACTGAACTGACTGATATATATATATATTTATTTATTTATATATTGTATCATATATATATATTTATTTATTTGAAAATCGAACTAAAATGTTCCAAGAAAAAAGGCTAAAAGTCTCAAACTGGCGGCTGCCAGACTGGTGATTGTTAGTGTGTCTCTTCAAAAGCCTAAACTTTCAGCCTTTTTCTCTTTTTTTCTCTCAATTCTCACTTCTTTGTTTATCACTCTCTCGGTCTCTCCTACCTAAACCAGTAAATTATTGCTTGTCATCTCCGCCACGTGGCCCGCGCCAACCATCAGCACCAAGCGGCAACGCTGGTCGCAACTCCACCATCTCTGTAGTCTCTCTCTCTCCTTTATGCGGCTCCGCTAGGCGCCACCTCTCAAGCTCTCACCGCAATAGCCTACAACAACCTCTGAAAATAACTTTGTTAGAAACATCATGGCTTGATGCATGATTTGAACTGATAGTCAGCATCAACAAGAGAATAACAGATGGTCGGCACCGACAGCAACCACCGGTCCACCGATAGTTTTAGATTTTTTTTTAAGTGCATCGAAAAAATAATAATAATTTATTATAAATTATTCTTACTAATTATTAATTATTTTAATATTACTTGTGTTATTTATTAATTATTTGTATTAACTAGTAAATTTTAATTATTTCATTATTTTTTTAAAATTATTTTAATTTATATTTATGTAAATTATTAATTATTTTAATATTTTTATAGTCATTAATTAATTTTTAAATTTAATCATTTTATTTTTTAATTAGTAAATTTTAATTATTAATTTATTATTTTTTATTTGTATTATTTCAATATTATTTTGAAGTTGAAAATTATTCTTTATGAGATAATGCAAATTGAACTCAATATTTTCAAATAATATGTTATAGGGGTAAAATAGTAAAATCAATAAATTTAAAATGGTAAATAGTTAATCAAATACAAATAAACTTATAAATTTAGAGCCTCTAAACTATATAGAAAAACACCTTTACTTGTTTTTCAATTTCAAACACAAATAATATCTTTTTAACTTTTCAGATTTCAGATTTATAAAATGTGACTTAGCACCGGGGAATAAGAAACCTGAGGGGTATTTTAGTGAATGACGTTTTTATTATTTTTTCTCCCGAGTTTATATGGTTTAACTCTAGAGTCTAGAAGAGTCCAAGTCTAGCGGGAACTACCCAGAGTCGGAGGCTCTCAGAAAAATTTCATCGAACAAGGAGGGTTGTTATCTTTAACAATGTTCAGAACTTGAGCTTTCCAAATTTCTATTTGGTTTTCCTTCACAATTATTTCTCTCATCCTTCGTATAGTCTATTTGACGAGCTAACGAGCTAGGGCTAGTTGAACTCTCTTCGTTTACAACAGCAATGGAAGAACATATACGGAAAGTAGATACGAATTGGATGCTTTCCTCGACCATCGGTCGGGCGATGAATATTTTGCTAAGTTCTCGTCCTAGAAAGCTCGAGGACGCTATTTCCCGTATTGGCTTGAGTTCGCAGAGAAGTTCCAGTGGTTCGGGTTGATCTCTCTGTTTGTTACGAATTTGCTTATGTTCTCTGAGATTATTCTCGTTGTTGAGTCTGAATGTAAAAAAGACTAATTCTTGCAGGTTCTTTGGAGGAGTCACTTCGTTTTCTTCGGGAATATGTTAGAGATGCTGCTGATAGAATGGAGCCCCTGGATCAGATTCTCGTTCCTATGATTGAAAATGTGAAGAATTTAAGCATCTTTTATATATACACACACACTCCAATTTGAAAAAGAAATTAGATGAACCCATTATGTAAAGTGTCATGCTCATTTGGTCAACTCCACCATATCGTCAACTGTACCTCAAGTTAACAAGGATCAGCACAATAGAATCAGACATAATAAGCAGCAAATTGGAATGGACCTTTTCATTTTCCCCTGTTTATGAGACGTTCTTTGTTTTAATAATATTTAACACAAGTACTAGCAGGCCTAGAGAGCAGCTTCAGGGTTCTGGTTAATTCATCATAAACATGCCATGGATATTTACTGGTTGATTTTGCTAGAACTGTTAGAAAACCAAATTCAATCTATTACCCCTTCGGATTGCTCCAAGCTAGTAAGCTACTAAGCTTAATCTATTACTTATTTGATTGTACTCCTCTTATCTTTTAATGAATTTTATTTTTTATTACTTAAAAAAACCTAGTAAGATACCCTTTCAGTGCCTTAAAAAAGAAAAGAAAAAATGAATTATAGTTCCATGAATCGTCGGAAAATCTAACCAACACCATAGAAATGCTTACTGAGGCCTAGTTGTCAAATTGTCTTTGATATCTAGAAAACTGGTTAGTTCACTTTGATTTCTACTACTATGTTTCATGTTGAAACCAAAACCTTTTGTTTCTTATTTTGTTCCATTGTCTTTCCAGTCAGTGAAGTGCAAGGGTTTAAAGCATGGCAACCATGTTATGATACTTCTCAACTGGCTCTTTCAAGATGAACTTCTTTTCCATGTTCTTGCCAGTAATCTTGCAGAAATTATAAAAAGGAAGGAGGACCATTATATTTTGCTTGGATGGTGTATTCTGATATCAAGACTTTTAGATTATGAAGTTGCATCGAATAAAGTTTTACATATTGGTGATGTCATATATTCTATTAGTCTTTCCTATATTTTTACTTCACTGACCGGGTGCTTAAATTATATCTGCTTATATTTACTGAGTGGCATAGTTTTCTCTGACATAGGAATACGGGAAAAGCAAAATACCTTGTTGAAGATTCTTTGCCCAACAATTTCACGTCTTTCATCCATTATATGTAGTGGGAGGTATGGGTTTTTGATTTTGGGCACATTACTGGTAATGTTCATGTCCATCTGTCAATAGAGTCCATTTTATTTATTTATTTTGATTTGCAACAAGAATATATATAGATGCCATCAATCAGGTTTTAGGACTTTTTTTGATAATTGAGGTTTTAGGAGGTTTTCCCACAAAAGGATTTCCAAGCTACCCCTTTACTCTTAAGGGTGGTGATGAGTTCAAAGGAGTATTGATGAATGACCTATTAAGAGGATGGAAAATAGTTGCTGCTTACCAAAGAGGTAAACCGCAGTAAGGAGAACAACGGGAAACACTTGTAAGGCGAAGACTGGAGTTCAACTTTGATGGGTGCAGTTTACGAAATCCAGGAGCTTCAGAAATTGGCAGGTAATTAGAGACTGCAACAGCAACATTCTTTTGAGCTTTTCAGGCCCAATAGGAGTAACAAACTCCCTACAAACAGAGATGCAGGCCTTAATGCAATATGCAAGGACAGAAATTAAACGAGAGAGTGAACTGAGATATATATAAAAGGGAACTGTGAGACAACTAAAACTTGGATGGAAGATAAGGGGGAAATCCCTTGGGAAGTCATGCCTTTAGTGAGACAGGCTCATATGCTGGGTTGAAATTTGAATACCTCATTCAAGTGGATTCCTAAAAGTGCCAACAGCTAGCTGATGCATTAAATAAAGCTGGAGCAGTTAAGGAATTTTTTGGATTGGGGTGAACCAGGGCCAGGAATCAATGTGTGATGATGTAATTCAGTTGTATTTAAGCCTGCAAATGGAGTGAATTCGAATTGAATTGATCCATATTTGAATTTGAATTCAATTACAAAAATATTGGTTTGAATTTGATTCGAGATTCGATGAATATTTAAAATTAGCAATCAAATTCCCATTTGATTAAGTAATTGAATATTTGACTCAATTCTAATTTGATTGATCACTTGCACATTTATATCTATATTCAAAATCCTAAGCCTTGAATAAGAGGATGTTGAAGTCCTCCCAAAGCAGCAAATCTAAGAACGATGGTATCATCTTCAAACTTCAAAGAGATCTAGTGTGTATTAATAGTATGGGAAGATTGTATTAATAGTATAGCAAAATATAAGTGCCTGTACAATGAGATTCTGTACAACCACAAGTTTTCAAGTATCCTCAAAAGAAGTTGACTGCCAAAAAAGAAGATGAGAATTCTTTCTCCTTGAAATAAACTGAAGTTGATAAACATTGCCTTAGAGCCTCACTTTTTCCATTAATACTCTCTCCCCAGGACTGCTCTTCTGTTCAAAACTCTTTGAGTTTCTTTCCAGCCACACCATCCAAAAGACTTCCTTTCCTTCTCATTCCAGCAACTTTTCATTCCTGTTACAAAGCCTGAACAAATCTTGGCAAGCATCTCTGGTACGATATGGCCTTTAAGAAAAACATCTTAACATCCATTATCTTATTTTTGTTGCCTAGGCAATGTAACCTATTCATCAAACTTGCCTTGCCAGGTCAAAATGCCTAGGTGTCACTGATTAAAATGGGGTTTCAACAAGTATTGCCTAAATCTTAGAAGAAGAAATTCAAGAAGAAAATGCAGGAGAAAATAACTCTGCAGAATAGTCCATGTTCTGGGAAGAACTTGCAATTTAATTTCTCTCAATCCAGCTGTCAGATTGAGTTGAATTTTTGAGATTTAGGATAGAGTTCTTATGGAGTAAAAGGACTTCTTAGTGTTAATGTTTTCATTTTGATCAGATTAGAGTTATTACTATTTTGCTTTCGTCGTGCCTTCCATCTTATCAGAAAAGAAATTGCATTTGTTAAGTCTCTTCTTTTTTAGGTAATTGTTTAGTTTCTTCTAAGGCTAATGCTTAAATACTTGTCTGTAGCACATTGCAGAATGGATTTGAGTTGCCTACTCGGCTTTCTGTAGCTGCTGCTGATTGCACCTTACTTCTTACTGAAGCATTAATTAAAAAAACACCCAGTTCTGAGGTTTCAAGTAGTAGAACAAAACCATCTGATCCAAATGCAGCAAATTGGCAAATTTCCTTGGTTCCTACTGCTAGCTCTGACAAGAGAGTGATGTCAACTAGTAAATTTTCTCAAGCCTCAGAAAGCATGGAAATGGAGTTCCTGCTTTGGAATCATTTTGATGAACTCATTATTCTTGTTCAAAAACTCTGTGCTGTATGTTCTCAACTCAGCTTGTTATCATCTGTCCTACTTACTATCATATGTTCATATTACACTTGCAGTAAGTATACAAAATTGGTGGACTCATGTGCTAATCCCATTGTTAATACTGGATTATTGTTTTTATGTTTAATGATACACAAACAATGGGAATAGACTAACTAAAACAAATCATGGATTTCTCGCTTTTTTATTTTTTAATTGGAAGGGACACAGTATGTAGCATTTGGGTGGATTGGAACATCCCTTGTTCTGCTAGGGCATCATAGGGAGGTCTGAAGGAGGTATTGTTTTCATTGCTTAGTCTGAAGCTGATGCTCAAATTGTACCAAAAATTTGGGAAAAGAGATTTGATGTGTTAGAACTTATGCTAGATCTGTAGAGCCTTTTCTTTGGTGCTGATTGCTGAATGACAAACAGAGCCCTGCAAATATATATTTCCTTTTTAGGGCTATTGATTGCTTGATAGTGATTTTCTTTTTCATTTTCCCTAATGGAATATTATATACAATGTATTAATATGATACCTAAAAGCAAATAAGCTAAAAATCTCCAAACAATATTATCAACAGATCCATCTAGTTGGAACATGGCTTAGTTGAGTTGAGTTGAGTTTTTTTTTTTTTGATAATTGAATGAATTTTTTTATTAAGTGAAGAAGAAAAAGCTTTACAATCAGCCCAAAGAGAGGTGCGAGATGTGACCTTCCTTTAAAATAACAGCTTTTCAAAGCTTAAGCAATTACAAAGCAGCCCAAAGTAACTGTTCCCAATTAGCCCCTTGTTTAGCAAAATAGTCTGCCATTACATTTGCCGATCTGCTCACCCATTGAAATCTAATTGTCATATCCCTTGTAAGCCAAGTAATTTTTTTTAGAAGATCCCTATAGCACCAAATTACAGAATCTGGATCCAACAGCCACCCCACAACCACCTTAGAATCTCCTTTAGTTAGTAGATTCTCCACCCCCCAAGTTGGTTTGCAATCTGGATTCCTTGTAAATCAGCCCTAATCGAATCTCCTATTCCCACTGGCCTTGAAAAGAAAGAAATGATATTACTGCCCTCATTTCTCAAACCCGAAAGTCCTGGATTACCTTGACTGCTTCCATCAAAGTTCAACTTCACAACACCTTCCGGAGGAGGAGACCAATCTATTTTAATGTTGTTTTTCTTGGATGAAGTATTAGACAAACTGACCAACTCTTCCAAAAACCATCAAGGAGAAGGGGTTAACAGAGTTGAGTTTAGTATTATTGACACTTGTGATCACATTGATTGGTCATTTTTGGAGGAGGTTTTAGTAAGATGTGGCTTTGTGGCTAGATGGTTTCTAATGGAGTAGGGGTTGCCTCCCAAACTATCTGCTGCTTCGTATTGGTGAATGGGAACGTGAAAGATTTTTTCAAGGCTAAGAAGGGTTTTGAGGCCAAGTAATCCATTCTCTATATTTTCGCCCTGCTCATATCACATAGTCAATTAATCTTGAAAATAGAAGGATCTAGATAGAAGATCAAAGATTGGAAATGGGGAGGTAGTGGTGCTCCATTTGTAATTTGCAAACGACATCAGTATGTTTGTGAGGATATAGGGTATAGGGGTGTTAGGAATTTGTAAGTTTGTTTGAGAAGTTATTAAATTTGAAAGTCAATTTAGATAAAAGCTGCATTTCTGTTGTTAAAATGGGGGGTGGGGGAAGTAGATTGATATGTGCCAATTCTAGGAAGTTTGAGTGTGAGTTGGCCAAGGGGATATCTTAGGTTGCCCCTTGGAAGAAACCCAAAATCTTGTAGTTTCTAGGACCCCATTCTTAATATGTTATCCAAAAAACCTATGGATCTTTTTGCTGAAGCAGTTAAAAGTTGGTTTTGTGTCAGTTTTCTTGTTGAAATTGGAGCCTGTAAAGGGAGATCTGAGCTCTTATGTTGAGTCTATATAAAGTCATAATTAGAATTTTAGAGATGATTTAATGGAATGAAAAGTTTGTTTGAAATTATATTTTTTGGTTAACATTTTTAATGAAATACTCCTAATTTATCATGGAGCAGCAGATAGAAGATTGGTTCAAATAATACTGTTAATTTGATAATTGAAAGATGATTTTATTATCAAAAGATGAAGACTATTACAAGCAATCCAAAGGGGCACTGGGTGTGGTCTCCCTTAAAGTGTGAAAATTACATCAAAACACTAGAATAAACAACATTACAGAGCAGCCCAGTACAGATGTTCCCTATTGCCCTTTTGTTTAGCAAGATGATCAGACAAAGCATTTGCTGACCTGCCCACCCAATGTAAGCTAACATTCATATTCCTTGTTAACCAGTTAGCTTTCTTTAGGAGGCCCCTGTAGCACCAATAGACTGAATCTGGATCTGTCAACTGACTCACAACGATTTTTGAGTCTCCTTCAATTAGTGGATTCTCCACACCAAGTTGGTTTGCAATTTGAATACCTTGTAAAGCCGCTGGTAACTCAGCCCTATTAGAACCTCTTATTCTCACTGGGCCAGAGAATAAGGCTAAAATGTTGCTATCCTTATCTCTCAACACCCCTCCTATACCACAAGGGCCTGGGTTTCCCTGACTACTTCCATCAAAATTCAGCTTTACACATCCTTTAGGAGGAAGAATTCACGATGCAGTAATCCTGTCCTTCCTGGAAGAGCTATTTGCCACGGCTGACCAACTCCTCCAGGGATCATCAAAGGAAAACAATTGGAAATGCAATTCTAAACAAAAGGAAATAGTTGGTTGCAAATTATAGTCTGTTACAATGCCAATTTTAATGTTATTATATTGCTCTGCAGTGGAACACTAAAAGCCGACCTTTACATGCAAAAGGATTGGAGCTAGTGCTTAAGTGGTTGCAGGAGATAAAACAACATTATGCTTCCCTTGAAGATGAGGCAGGTCCTATAAATACTTTCCTTTACCTTATGCTTCTTTTTTTTTATCCATGTTTTTCTTCATTCATGGTTTCTTCACCTGTTAACAATGCTAACAAATGCAGAAATTCTGAAGACTGGAGTCTTGCTACTTTCTTCTTGTTGGAAACATTACAGCATGCTGTTACACCTAGAGGACCATGGACTTTCTCAGAAATATGGGGAATTGTTGAACCAGTACCTTTCTGGAATCCAGGTCAAACTTAATTGTGATACTTTATGAACTTTTTTTGTAGTTTAACTAATGCAATAGAAGAAACTACTTCTTATGAATCTAGATGATGATGTACATTTATTTTGGTAACCATTGAATTCTAGATATTCTAGGGGGAAACCAAAGGAGAAAAAAAGAACCTTAGGAAGTGTTACAAGAGTTCTCAAAAGAAATAAAATCCAAATCACCATAATTTATTGTGAAATTATGGTAATGTAGAGCTATAGTGCAATTCAAACAAGAAAAGAAAGGAGAAAGGGAGGAGTAAAGAGAGAAGAGAGACGAGAGAAACTGCCAATCTGTTTTTGAGAAGGGATTAGACTGTCTTAATCCCCTCTAAGCAGTTGGCCCACCTTTATATTAATAATAAAAGAGTGCTGAACTACAAATATACCCCTGTTTATGATAAATGGTGGTGTGTCAACTACAAATATACCCCTGTTCACAAATGGTGTGTCAATATTACCACTTTGAATCTTTTCTCTAACGAAGTTGTAGTCTACTCAATATGCGTTGTTCTCTCATGAAAAACTGGATTTGATGCGATATGAATGGTGGCTTGATTATCACAATGCAGGTGCATAAGGGTTTTCATTGGAATTCCAATTTCTTGAAGAAGACTCTTAAGCCACACTAATTCTCTTGTTGCTTGACTCATAGCTCTATACTTACCTTCTGCACTTGATTTAGCTACAACATTCTATTTCTTGCTTTCCAGGAAATAAAATTGCCACCTAATAACATACAATACCCTATTGTTGACTTCCTATCCATTGGTGATCCTAGTTTGCATTTGTGAACCCAGGCACACTCAAATGACCATAGTCTTTGTAGATGATTCCCATACCTGGTGATCCTTTAAGGTACTCTACGATTATGTACACAACTTCAAGATGTGGAACACCTGGAGAGCTCATAAATTGACTTACAACACCCACTGCAAAACAAATGCCTGGATGGGTGATAGTCAAGTAATTCAGCTTCCCTACAAGTCTTTTGTACTGCAAGGGCTGATGATTAGTTACAACCAAGGAAATAACCACACAGACAGAGGTGATCTTAGCAATTGGAGAAAAAGTTCCATCAAAATCTACACCATAAGTCCGAGTAAACCCTTTAGCAACTAAATGAGCTTTAGTCTATCTACTGTACCATCAGGGTTAAATTTCACTGCATATACCCATCTACATTCTGCAGGTTGTTTACAAGAAGGAGAGAAACTAAATCCCATGTGCCATTTTGATGAAGTGCCAACATTTCTTCTTTGATAATTGTCCACCCAAGATCAAACAAGGCCTCTAATAAGGATTTAGGAATAGAGATAGTAGAAAGGGATGTAACAAAGGAAGGGTAGAAGGTGATAATGACTTATAAGAAACAAAGTGACTAATAGGGTGTGTTGTACAGGAACACTTACCTTTTCGAAGGGCAATGGGTAGATCAAGGTCTGAAGCTGGTTGCACAACTAGAGTAATAATAGTAGTAGTATAGGGGGCAGTAGGACCTGCAAATGACAAGGCAGTTGATGTTGAGTCTTTGAATATTCCAAAAAGACACACTTAACTACATAGGGTTCAAACTTGTTACATTGATGATAAAAAAGATGGGCAAGGCAAACACATACAAAAATACGAGGTGGTAAAGCAAACAGGGGAGCATTAGGAAATAAGACAGAATGAGGTATCTTATTTTGAAGAACTGATGAGGGGATCCTATTAATGAGATAACAAGCGGTAGGAATAACATCACTCTAATAAATCTTTAGCACATTCATTTGGAGAAGGAAAGCCTATTTAACTTTAGTAAATGGTGGTTTTTGCGTTCAACCACACCATTCTATTATGGTGTATCAACACAAGAAGTCTGATGTATGATTCCATGCTCATTTTAAAATTTAGTAAATGGTGAAGACATGTATTTTTTAGCATTGTCAGATTGAGTGACACAAATAGTGGAGCCAAATTGGGTTTTTATTTCCATAAAGAAAGACTTGAATACAGAAAATAATTCAGATCTCTCATTTAAAAAATATAACTAGGTAGCTCTTGAAAAATCATCAACAAAAGTAACAAAATACTTGAACCCAAATAAGACACTACAAGACACAAACCCTAAACATCTGAATGAACTAACTAAAAAGGTTTAGACACACATCTCATAGCTCGAGGAAGAACAATTGCTCGATTGTGCTTGCTAAGTTGACACACATCGCAGTTAAAACTAGTGTTAGACGGAAGCGAAGGAATCATGAAACAAAGACTTTGCAATGAAGGATGACCCAATTGACAATGAAGTTGAAAAGGAGACACACCAAGAGAAGAACACTGTAAGGCAGTAAGTCCTAAGCCACCTTGCAAATAGTAAAGACCGCCAGATTCAACTCCACCAATTTGCCTCTTTGTCTTTAAGTCATGAAACACACAATGAGAAGGTAAAAAAAGGTAATAGAACAGTTTAGTGATTTTGTAAGCTTACTCACATATATAAGACTAAAGGAAAGTGAGGAACATAAAGAACAAATGATAAAGACAATTGGGATGTTGGGTTCAGTAGTCGATCAAGACTACAATCAGCCTTGAATCCTAACAGATTTCAGATTTAGGAAAGGTAGAAGAAAAGTAGGAGAAGGAGGAAAAAGAGGAGAAGAACCAGAAGTAGACAAAGGTTTGAAAGGAGGAACAAGTTCAATCAATCTGCTGCCACTACTCTCTTAATATTTATAGGTTATGTTCAGTACATAGGGGAAAGGACAGGACTGCCCTTAATACTTACATGGCAAGAAAAAACAAATAAAAGACTGAAATAAATAACACACTGAAATAACAAGCTGACTACCAACTAACACTGACATGCCTAATAATAGTTGCACATGCTGTCCTACGAACAGGGTGGGGACCACAGCTGTGGGGCCCACATCAGTTTTCTCTACACTCCCCCTCAAGTTGAGAATAGATATTTGTCATTCCCAACTTGAATAGGTYTGCCTCTAACTTCTTCCTTGGTACAGCCTTGGTGAGGAGATCTGCGAGCTGCATGTTGGAGGTGATATACGGGAGACACACTTCCTGTGATGAGACCCTCTCTCGGACAAAGTGTCGATCAACTTCGATATGCTTAGTTCTGTCATGCTGCACCGGATTGTGGGCTATATTAATAGCCGCCTGATTATCACAATACAACATCAAGGGCTTCTCATAATCAACACATTACTCTTCAAGTAGTGATTTCAGCCGTAGGGTTTCAGCCACTCCGTTTGCCATTGACYTGTATTCAGCTTCGGCACTAGAGCGGGAAACAACACTTTGTTTCTTACTCCTCCAAGAGACAAGGTTACCTCCCACAAGGGCACAATATCCAGAGGTAGRCCTCCTGTCATYARCACTCCCAGCCCAATCAGCATCTGTATAGACCTCCACCTTCATGTGATTATTGTTCTTGAACAGTATACCTCTACCTGGGTATCTCTTCAAGTATGCCAATATTCTCTCTGCTGCAAGAAGATGAGTAGTTCTAGGGGAATGCATGTACTGGTTGACAACACTGACTGCATAACTAATATCTGGCCGAGTGAGGCAGAGATATAGGAGCTTTCCAACCAACTGTTGGAACATAACTTTGTCTTCAAGAGGCTCCCCACCCTCTGCACTGATCTTGTGATTCTATTCAATGGGTGTATCGGCAGGCTTGACACCTAACTTTCCAGTTTCCGCCAACAAATCTAGAACATATTTTCTCTCAGAGATAAAGATTCCCTGTTTAGATCTAGCAACCTCAATACCCAAAAAGTACTGCAGTGCATCAAGATCTTTCACCTCAAACTCTTGATGAAGGAGCTGTTTGAGGGATGCAATCTCAGTACTATTATTCCCTGTCACTACAATATCATCCACATATACAACAAGGGCAAATGTCTTCAAGTAGTTTATACAACAAGCAGGGTCAAAGAAGAGTCCACTCTTTTAATGAACGGTGTATGATCTGACTGGGTCTGTACATAACCAAATTTTCCAAGGGCTAGTATGAATCTATCAAACCAAGCTCTAGGGGACTGCTTTAATCCATACAATGCGTTATTCAGTCGGCAAACCTTCTTACCTGTCTCTGTATCATAGAATCTAGGAGGCAACTACATGTAGACCTCTTCCTGTAAGTCTCCATTCAGAAAAGCATTTTTAACATCCATTTGGAACAAGGGCCAAGAATAACTTGCTGCAAGGGCTAATAGAACTCGGATGGTGGTCATCTTGGCTACTGGGGCAAATGTCTCCAAGTAGTTTATACCATAAGTTTGAGTGAACCTCTTTACAACCAACCGGGCTTTGTACCTTTCAATGGAGCCATCATCATTATGCTTCACAGTAAATACCCATCTACATCCAACTGGTGTCTTTCCTTTGGGTAGATCAACTAGCTGCCAAGTGTTATTTTTCAACAGGGCATCTATTTCAACTTTCATTGCATCTTTCCACTCTGGAACTGATAAGGCTTCTTGCACTGTTCTAGGGATAGGGATATCGCCAATGGAAGTGAAATAGGACCTGTAAGAGGGAGATAGGCGATCATAGGATAGAAACTGGGAAATGCAGTGAGCTGTAGATGTGGTGCAATGCCGTTTCCCTTTACGGACGACAATAGGGAGGTCAAGGTCATCCGTANCGGACGACAATAGGGAGGTCAAGGTCATCCGTAGGAAGGGAAGTAGCAACAGTGGAAGGTATCTCAGTGGGCCCTGGGACTGTAATACTTGGATCTGGAGCCGCAGAAGGAACTGGAGCTGGCCTGGACTGCTGATGACCGGGATCAACCTGCCTGCATTGCCTGTGATAGGCTTTCAACTCCTGATCCCTCTGACCACCCTCACCATTACATCCTTCATCACTCAATGGAATGGGTAAAGGAACAACCTCAGATGTGTTAACCCCACTCTCACTGCGCTCCCCCTGAGGAAAAAGACCCAAATCCCCACTTTCACTGCGCTCCCC